GTCGTTTCATTATACGTTACATTAATAAGCCTTTCCGTCACGCCGCTTCAAGGTTTCACACCTATTGAATGAGATGATATCAAGTGTTCTCACTTCGGTCCGCCTTATCAAAGTCATCTTCCACGTCGGTCTCAGTTTAACATGTCAGATCGGATATATTTCTCGTTTTATCATTATCAACGATCACAACTGAGTGTAATCGTTAATAACGGGGGCCTCTCTGTTATTACCCGACCTGACGAACCCTGATCAAAACCAAGCCAAAGGATTACTTAACAGATGAGAGTGTAACAACTACCTGCCCAACTTAACTGATTCCATCTCGGTCTAACCCCGAGCGAATGTCTCACCTCGGTCCCGATCAACGTCAACATACCGAGACGAACCTCAACCGAGGTCATCAAAATCAAGACTGATAAGACACCCTCATTATACGTCCGCATATCAAGGCATTTGATCTGATATCCTGTGGGACCCGCTGACAATGCCGCCCACCAAAAGTAACTTTACATAAAAAAGCGTCGTACAAATCCCAATGTTTTGTATCCTAAAAGTTACTATAAATAGCTAGTCTGTATACTTGTACGGGGATCGAACCCTGAATCTTTTTTCATAAACACGTAACAGCTCATCACAGCTTTTCACCTCGGTTTATCTCGGACCGGGGCCATTGTCTTTGTTTGATTACGCGATTTCTGTATAGAACTCATATTAATTGATCCAGAATCAGTGTAAACTCGTTGTTCTAATCCACATAACAACAGTTTATTGTTATTATTATTAAATGTCTAATTGTTTAAAATGCCTATTATTATTAAATAAATATTGTTGTGTAAATTATATAAATATAAATTTATTATGTTGTGTGTAATATATGTGTATATATATTTATGTGTCGTCTCGTTTTATTTATTTCGAGCCAAACCGAGAGCCCGACTCCTAAACTCGCGCCCGCCGAGAGCCCGACCCAGTTCCATCTCTTTCTTTTTAGGGTAAAATATTTTTTTCCATCCGAACTATCACGGTTTTGGCGCATCACCATATAAACTATTTTTTTTTACAAACCACCATATGAACTATACAGGTTTGTCAATGTGCCCCTAAACCAGATATAAAAGTGGTTTTGACTGAAAAAGTTGTTTGGTCACCATATGTGCCCCCTAAATACTTTTACAAACCACCATATGAACTATCACGGGTTTGTCAAT